GGGGAAAAAGAAGAGATCGATCTTTGAGGGCCTTTGTGTAAGTATCGTTAACGGCGTCCAAAATTTGCTGGGGATCTGGGCCTCTGTTTTGTGGTATAATTTCCATGCATCCAGTTCATTTTTGTAGGTTTGGTCGTGGCGGTACATGAGTGCTTGGGTGGCGTTGGCAGCATGTAGGGTTTGTCTGGTTTGATCGGACGACGAATGCAACGTTCCTTGGGATGCTGCAGTGTATGCTGCTGGCCAAGGATGATGTAGGCGTGGCCTAACCTGCCATCACCGTCCTCACTAGAGATAGCTCTGGTGTTTGCAAGAACCTGAGAGATGAGGAGGGATAGCTTCCTCTGGTCAGGTTTGCCAATGATTGGTGTGAGGATGGGGTGTGGCATTGCCTCAGTTGGTGTAGTGGTGGTCATTGTAGGAGAGGGTAGAATTGGATTTGAAGTTGGGCGACACGGGTATATTTAGTTTCCTTTGTCGGACGTTTAAGGCCTGTGTCTAGGTGGTGTATGTGTGGGTAGTGGTATTGTAGGTTGGTGTTGGTGTTGTTGGCTAGTAGCGGTATCAGCTGGTAGCGGTATCAGTTCGGTATCAGTGTCGTTCCGTTCGAGGATAGAGGTTCGTCGTTCGAGGATAGAGGTGCGTTCGTCGAGCGATAGAGGTGCGTTCGTTCGAGGGTAGAGGTGCGTTGTGCCGTTCGAGGATAGAGGTACGTTTCGAGGATAGAGGTGCAGTCGTCGATAGAGGTGCGTCGTGCCGTTCGATCGATAGAGGTGCGTTCGTCGAGCGAGCGATCGATAGAGGTGCGGTCGTTCCGTTTGTCGAGCGTTCGAGGATAGAGGTGTGTTTCGTTCGTCGGGCGGATCGGTGGTGGTATCGGTTGTATAGAAGAAGGATCTTATAACATCTGTTGAAGAGACTAAAGGTAGCGAGAGATGTATTACGAATGATGTTATAAGATTATGAGGAAAAGCTACTTTGTTGTCTCTGGATATCTGTAGATGAGTGGAGGCTAGATTCCGGTTGACGGTGGACGGTCAGACGGCCGGAATCAGCACACCCATCTCTTTGGAACGAGAACAGAGGTAGGCCAAAGCAAAACACCGGGCAACGAATATGAATCATTGAGACAGACAGAGTCAATGCGAGGTGGATGCCGTCACTCACCATAGGCTTGGGTGCTTCGATAAGCCGCTATGAAACATCGAGGGCAATGCATTAGGCCAATACTTTGCTGTAGGAGCAAAGGCGACCTATTCCAAGGCAAAAGAATGCAAATTCTCATCATGGACCAGGCCAGTCGCCTGCCTCCAAGGCCTTTCTACGCGTAGCCCGCTTCCTGCTTTCCTCTCAAATACATGTACCACTAGCTAGTATTTGGCTGAAGGTACCATACTTCTTGCTGTGCATGTGGGCATCACTTTTGACCTTGTGCAAAGAGGAACTACAGGTTCATCTCCTCTCTCTGAGACCAATGTGCATGCCTGTTTCGCTGTTTCGGGGTTTCGTTTCGCCTCTGCGGTGCCACGTTAGAACCCGAACAACAGGAGACGAGGAATGACTTAAACTTGAGTGCTCAGAACTTACAGACTCTACTGCAGATTGCGTTCTATTGATTTAACAGCCACTTTTACTGTTGGAGCACTTGGTCAATGTGTTAAATAGAGAGCCTTTCCAGCGGTAAAAACATGGTCAAGGGGGGTCTACAGTAGAAACTGGTTTTCGAAGACTGCAACTCGACTTCTTTTCAATAAATCATTTTTTAAGATCAATACCCCCCTTCATTTTTAGTGTGTTCTTTCCATCTACATGTACATGTACGAGGAACGAGGAGTTCTCTCATAAAAAAATTAATAACGGGGTCAACAGTCAGCACAAGTTGCATGTACATCGTACGATACGGTACCTACCAGGTACCTGGTACCACCAGTGCTGTATGGTACCAACACTGGTACCGTGAGGAGCCAGCCTATGAGAGTCTTCTACATGTATTGCCCGGCTACCGTATTGATCGGCCTGCAGTAGGATACGCGAAGGCAGATGTGTCAGCTCCTACAGTACAGTCAACGGGATTTGGTTTAGTGTACCGGTACATGTATGCAGTCCGCCATGCTGTGGGCACTGTGAATGTCGAGGTGAAAAAATCAACGTCGTGGGCCTCTTCGCAGGCGATTCTCGGCCATTCCGTGGTTGCCTTGGGCTGCAGCGTTCTGCAAAACCCTGTACAGCGGGACCATCAATGCGAAGCTTTCAGGCTGGAAAGTGAAGCTCCTTTAGCCGAGGCAACGCATTGTAAATGATCTCTTCGGCTCACAATTTCCTTGATTCCAGCCATCAACGTTCAAAAAGAAAGACAACAAGCTATCCAACCTAAACAAGACAAATCCTCATCATGTGCCGCCAGTCGACTGTCCCGAAGTTTGTCGTGATCGATGTCCCATCCATTGCAAAGAACGATGCTCACGATGACATGGACATGTCTATTTCCTTCTCCTCAAGATCATTCTGCACCTGTGAAGCCAAGTCGAGGTGGAGTGTTTCCGCGTCAACTAAGTTGCCCAAGCAACCCTACAGGCTCCCTTGCAGTCTTCATAAGCATCAGGACGAAGCAAAGGTTTCGATTCTCCAGACTGGGTTGAATCAGTGCAGCAACCCTCCCCGTATCCCCACTCGACGCGGCAGCCTAGTGCTCGCAGACAGCAGTTATGGAGGCCCAAGGACTCGCATGAACAATGATGCGGCCCTCGGACCATGCCCATCCTCGGCTCGGCTTTCGGCCACCCGTGAAGGCAACTAAACACTCTTGAGCAAAAGCACCAGGAGACAGTTGTCTCTTGAAAAAGTGCACGAACACAGCGGTCATGTTTGTACATATGAATACAGTGATTGCAACTGATCCCCCCGCACAGTAAGCTTAGGAGCCATGCGATGATTCTAGCAAAGGGTGACAGAGTAAACTGTGGGCCTGTGTCGCAGCTCAGATCGTGTGAGCCCACATCCAACCCCAACCTTCCAATCATATTATATCGAAATCCACAACTATGCATACCCAGCCAGCCAATATATACCGAATAATCCTATCAAAGAAAACATAAACATAATAGACAGAATAAACCAATGCATATGACAACAGTGAGTTTGTTTGGCTGTCTCGGTGGTACCTGAAGTTGAAGCAAACCGTACCGTGCTCGGAGTGCATCCGATAACCGATCTATCCACCCCGTGTCGGTTGTGGAGAATGCTTCGTGTCACTCACACTCTTTCCTGCACCAAGGATGGACTGGGTTCCCAATGCCACAATGAAGTGCACGAGGAACTTGGAGACCTGGCTTCAAAGGCATTCGTCCCTTCTGCAGTCCGCGACGAACCCTGTATCCTTAGTTGTTCTGCTGCTCCCGATATATTGCCTTCTGCTGACTCTCCTGCTGTTCTCACGCCATCCCGAGGTGACCTCCTCATTCTTGGCTCCTGGCAATTTGGAACTGGTGACATTAGTTGACGTTGACTAATCTTGATGCTGCATTTCATAGTCTCACAAGGTCCTCCGCAAGAGTGAACGCAGCAAGCAGCAAGAAAGGCATGTCTCGAAGCCTGTCTCTTCCAACGCCCACACTTCTGTTGTCACTTCTGAGGGCCTCCTTGGCTGCTCTGAGGCCCATGCACTAACTAGTTTCTCCTCCCTGCGGGTGCCACCAAGTGGTCCACCTTACTTGGTACTCCGCTGCTGTGTCAATGCTCGGTTCAGCCTGGCCTTTCTTGCTACCGGTAGGGCCTATCACCTCTGCTTGCACGTTTTCCCCTGTCCTAAATGGCACGATGAGCTTTCGATACTTCATCTAGGATGCTGCGCGCTGGGTCACTTGATCCCTCATAACTGCTTTTGCCGTATCCGTAGACACTGGCCATGGAACTATCTCATCTCCTCCGGCAAACGCTTTCACCAAGCCCGAGCCATAGCCATGATGCCATGAGAGTTTAGCCAATCAGCGGGAACGGTTGCTGCCCATGCTGAAGCTCCTAGGAGGATTGTCATGCTACTACAAAGAATCTTGCACGACTTCAAGGAATGCAGTTCTGCTTGTGCAGTCAACAGGATTCGAGTAGGCAGAACTCCAGCCTGAAGGCTTGTCTCTGTCAATCCCAGTAAATTATATTTAGAATACTCACTTTTTGCTGCAATTGATAAATTGATGATTATGAGAAATTTGAATGTTGAACAAGAAGCAAGATTCTGAGAAGATAGTGCGCATGCTGCCGAAGGATCAAAAGGAAGTATACGGTATCTCAAGGAGCTGAAGGGCATATCAACTTTGTCTGACCTTTACTAGCTAGCTAGAGCTACCGGTAACCAGACCTGCCGTAAAGATTGGACGAACCGGACAAGAGCGAAGGAATAAACCATTCTGAAATGGACGAGCCAAACGAAACCTATGGTGCGAGAGAAATTGATGCTTCATCTAGGTTCATTTACGCTAGCTAACCGTTACCGGTACTACAGGTAGTCCTACTGCTTCAACTCAGTATCTTATGCGCCCACTGCCCACGTGAGTTCGGGCAATGAGGGCTCCTTTCCTTCTCAGAGTTGCGAATGAGAAGGTCATTTGTGCTCCCAACACAGATCGAAGGGAGTGGAGTTAAGGTTGAAAGCTTACTCTTACTGCGTCGAGTCCAGCTACTCGCTACATACTATCAGGTACCTGGTACTGTACTGTGTCTCGAGTAGCTGCCCGTTTCCAAAAGCCATTGTCTCCCTTCTAGGTAGCTCCACATGATCCTCACAACAAGTTCGAATTGGCACATTGGAACCGACTATCTGCGTTCCCAATTGTTGCAACAAAAGTGACAACGTGTTTCGAAAGAGAACCGAATCTTCAATCCACCTCTCCTGCAAGAGTTGCTTCGAAGAGACACATCTATGAGTGTCCAAGCTACCCGAGCAGCAAGTCACTTGTGGCTCGAAAGGCCCTCCTGTGGCGTGGCGCAGCCAATGCGAACCTGCAAGGATAATTATTTTTGGTTTTGGTTGCCGTGGCTTCGTCTCACACCTCCACACTCAAAAAGTTTGAAACCAGTCTAGCTAGAATCTGTAATCACCATCCAGGCGAGAGCAACCACCAGAGCACTTCGAAGACATAATATCAAAAGTACACCATGTGCCGCGCCTCCTCCAAGCAGATCCCCAAGATAATTTACTGTGACATGAAGAAGAAACAACCCGAGGTTCACCACGAACCCCTCGAGGAAGAAATCACGGCTACCTACCTATCCTCCTCGGTTCGTAACGACGACGAAGATATGGACACCTCAAGCAACAGCAGATGGGATGACATGGCATCGCCCAGACTTCCAAAACTACCCAACCGCCACATGAGACGATTGCCCCCTCACGAGGAGAATCGAATCGTCGAGGCAGCCTCAGAGTTCCTCGAATGGCCATCGGGGGCGGTGCATCCACCGACGCCCAACGTAGGCGTACATCCTGTACGGGCCAATGATTCAACGTTCCTAGAAGTACGGTGGAAGGATGATAGCGGCGTATAGTACCAGCCAGCCACAACAAAGCACGAGGATCGGCCAACCTGTGCTGCAGCCACGGCTGTCATTTATATGCCTATGACGACGCAGCAAAAGCATGGACACAACCAGGAACAGGCTGTGCAAGTAACAAACGCAGCCATTGCTTGTAGCAGCCATTGAAGGGACAGATCCCCTTGTAACATGTAAATAAAGATTCATTGAGATTCGGCGACACTACGCATGACACGAACATAGACTGCGCTAGCTAGCTATGGCAGTATGGCAGTGATAATTCCGCTCGCGTACCGGGGGGTGGTCATTCCGTTTCGCAGGCATTCAGGTCTCTTTGGGAGGGGCAGATCTACGATATCGGCCTTGTTTTGGCTCCCAAGCAATAATGTTAACACAAACCACATCGACGTCGCTTCCAAGTGCAACGCAGGCCTGAGTTTCAAGTTTCGAAATTTAAGCCAGGTTAGCGGCTCTAGCACCATGTGCCACCGTGACAGCGTAGGCACCATGCAGCGACCCCTGACGAGAGGGATGCGGATGAAGACATTACAAGAGAGAGGCTGTATGAAAAAGCCAAGGAAGAAAAATGATCGCTGGTCAAAACTGTATGGGGAGTGTGATCGTGCCTATACAAGCAACCCGTGTGACCTACTTGGGTGCAAAGCCTTGTCTTTTGATGCCCTACGGACATGAGATTCTTGGGGAGCCCGCGAATAGATTGCGCCGAGTGTTGGAAATCCGAGATGAGCTTGACCGCTTCTCGCAAATGGGTTACGAGTACGATTATTCTCATTTTTTGGGGGAGCCATGTGCTGCTGGACACGGACGAAGGGGTCTTTCTTTGCCACCTTGCTTGCTTCCCTGGAGCCAGTTGAATGGTATTGCGAGGACGAACGTGTCGGGGCAGTGTACGAGAAGTTGCTGTCCGTGCTGAGAAAGATGTCACCTGATAAGTTGGATATTGCCAACTGGTACATTCAAATGGGCTGCCGATCCCAGCAACGCCAACAATGTGGCATCCGTCGCCGGTACTGAACCTGTAAAGACTCTTTTGGTGCTGGGCTTGAGCAAGTTCGAGGATGTTGTGGGTTCTTTTCAGTTTCTTTCTTTCGCAGCAGGAACATTGGCTTCAGAACATGTCGGAGCGGGCAAAAGGCGGTGCTCTACATGATGGCACACGTTCGGAAGGAGGGCCAAGATGAAACGGGTTTGAAGAAATACTTCCCTTGTAGTAGTGAGGACGGGCCTGCTGCTAGCAAACGGGCAAAGACGGAGATTTAGCTACGGTACCGGTGGCCTACGCGGCAAAGATAATGTGTACCGAAAGGGGGTTCCTCGCAGTTTGTTTGGCTGGACCCCTTTGCTGGCGTCGCGTATGATATGAATTCATACGGTAGTCTAACTATATCTCAAGACGCGCGAGGGGCGAAAACGAAGGCCATGTCGGCTTTGTAGTTGGTGGGGTACTGTATGCCAAATGAATGCTCTTAAAGTTTATAGACTAGTACACTGGTTGGGCTATGTTCCACGGTCAAGAGACCAGAGACACCTACCGTACACACACACACTCGTTCAGAAAGATCTTCATCAGCGGCCGGCTCGGCCAACAAAAACCGCACTTACTGCATTTCATTCATTCATTCAGTCAGAGCGTCGTCTTTTTCAAAACTCATGGAGAGCACGATACGGTAGCCTATGCAGCTAGTTAAGCTACAGGCAGTACAGTGGTACGGTAGCTGGACATAGAATGCACAGCTATCTATTGTGACGAAGCAACCGACCAGTGACGAGGCGTCCGGGACACCTCCACTACCTAGCTCGTGCATGGCTGGTGGCTCTTGGGTAGTAGTATTCCACGTGAAGCTGTCCCGATTTTCATTGGGGTGGTGGGATGAATGATATCGAATCAATCTGGCTAGCTAGACTACCAGTACCGGTATGATAGGGCATGCATACATGCACAGGAAGCAATGTCTTGCTTGCTGCTCGAATAGAGCGATCGATCTGGATAGCAACTCTAGATAGAAGAGTCGGCAACAGGAGCAACCAGCCATTTTTCCGTGGGATACGGTATAGCTAGCTGTGGCGTGTGGCGTGGGGTTCGTGCACGCATTCAAAAGGGGCTATAGAAGGCTGGATCTAGGTAGAGATAGATAGATAGATGGATAGTTTTCCGTTGGCACCCGCTGCTGTTTGGTTCCATGATGTATGTATGTAGATGTGAGCTTGGGCTGCTGTGTAACTTTGTCGAGTGGATCCCAAATTTGTGCAAAAGAAGTGACGCCACTCTTCAGCGTTCCCGCAACGCAAGTTGAACTTTTAGTGTGACGAAATTAGCCGAACTAGAGACGGCTAAGGAGAGATTGAGAGCGCAACCATCGAAGAATTTCCTCACTTCTCACTTCTTTCGTCTCGTGTTATTGTTGTGTGGATGTTATTATTGTCAGACGACTGAGTGTTTGGGTATTGTTTCTTGCACTCGGACAAGAGAAAGAGAGAGAGAAGTTGTGTCTGTCAAGCCAAGAAGAAGAAGATGTCTGATTGTCCTTCTCCAAGTTCAAGTTATCTAGTGACTGTGGGTAGCGTTGGGGGTAGCAGCAGTGTGGGTAGCAGTGGCATTGGCAGTCCTGTGAGTGTGTCGGCCATGCCCCTTTCCTTGGATGATACAGTTGATACTACATGTAGTACATGTAGTACTGTATCTCCTCCTTGGAAGCGTCAAAAGAAGCAAGACAGCAGTAGTGATAGTATTGTTGCTGTCAGTCCCAAGCGGTTGTCGTTTGGTCCACCACTACTACAACGTCAACATCAACATCAAGACAGCCTATTACTGCAGTACCTTGTGGATCCTGCCTTGACGGCGCACATTTTTTCGTTTGTGGGTCCTGTGGGCACGGCCAAGTGTGCGGCGACGTGTCGATCTTGGAGGATCATTGTCTCATCCACGCAGTCGCTCTGGAAACAATTTGTCAAGGATGACTTTGGACTCTCCTTATCATCATCCAACAACAACCATACTACCAAGGTGATGATCCATCCATGGGAACACGTGTATCGACACATTCGTCTTCAACAACAACACCCCAATCATCGGTTAAATGGACGTGTCCTGTTTGCCGATGACGGAGGCAATTTTCCCGGCTATCCACCCAACCATGCACTCCTGCCAGAAACAAATCGCGTCTGGTGTACACGGCCCGGAGTCGATGCCAATGTCGATTTGGTCATTCAATTGGCTTCCACTTGTCTCGTTACAGGATTTGTCTGTGCCAATGGCGGACGCGGCTATTCGGCACCCCTCCAAGAAGCACTCGTCTTTTTGAGTTTGGAACAGCCACCCAATCTACAAGCCGCACGGTTTTATAATACCGGTACAACACAACAAAATGTGGGACCCCAATGGGTACGGTATCTATTCCAAAAGGAGGAGGAACCAGCCAACAACACCACCAACAATACTCCTCCTCCTCCTCCTTTGGAAGACAATAACAATAATGACAACAACAACGACAACCACCATCCGGAACCAACGTCACCCGCCAGTACTGCTACCACCAATAAACCCCCTTCCAATAACGATAACAATAATGATCCCGTGGCATCCTTTTGGTTCCCACACCTGCAACAAGCCTACTATGGACGATCCCAACAAACACTGGCCAAACCCATAGTGGCACGATACATTCATCTCAAATTGCTCAGTAGTCATTCGCCGCCCGGCCTCGAGGATATCAGTGACAATATTGATCTCATGCACTTTCATACCTTGGGAGTTCCATTGCCTCTACTCGACACTACACTATTGCCAAACGTATTACAATCTGAAGCACCACCAAACTATGTGAGAACCCACGAACGACGACACGATACCAACACACTGGTACCTCACGATCCACGACCACAACAACAACAACAACAACAACAACAATTCGTGTGGGACAATTAACTAATTAACTAATCTTGCCGTGTGAAGGACAACAACAAGAAACTTGCCAACACACGAAAAGGATGCGTGCCAGAATCGAATCGAATCCAATCTCCCGGTGGGATTTCATGTATCACACCGGTACAGTACAGTAGTGGAAATGAAAGCACATATATTGTGCAAACTCGGTGGCGTCCAAAAGGCATCCATTGGCGGGGCACAGCAGAGGAACGTAGCTTTGAAACATTATTAAAAAATAAGGAGCATTGGATTTGGCATTGGCTAGCTAGCCAACCAAGCGACGCAACCGTTGTACGTACCGTAGGTTGGACTCGACTTGCTAGCGCCTCTCCAACTGTTACCACAATGGGTCGTTCTGTCACGGCGAGATTTTTACGACTCGACTCTTTCTCTATCTGTTGGAGCATGGGTATCGTATCCATCAAAAGAAAAAAGGCCCTCCAATTTCGTACTTACCGGTACTTACACATTTTCGTTCCCACTCTTCGAGTTTTGCCACAGTTCAGTCGCCATGGACGTACCCGTACCATGTGGCAGGTATGCCATAGCACTGAATACAGTAGCTATAGTACCGTACTAGCTAGCTACAGTACCGGTAGCTGGAGCTGGTCCGCGATAGACTCTTGACAACAGCCAAGGATAGATTGTCCTATCGTGCCATGCACACAAATAAATGCAAGTGGCGGGACCCTCTTTCATGCACTGACGAAAAAGTTGAAATGCAAGCCTTCTCACATACTTACTATTAAATTTAGGGGGTCTAGCTAGCTAGAGTAGTAGGGAAGCTAGCTATCTGAGGAATCCGACCAAGGGGGCAGGCCTACTAGGCAAACCATATTAGCGTCTTCATCAGTGGACCCAGGGCAGCCATTGTTGCGGAGCACTGGACCACTTCGCTTCGGTTGAACATGCGGGCAAATCGATATGTCTTTTCATTCCATGGACACCCATTTTCACGAGCCCACTTCAAAACTTCCAACTGTCCATATCGAGCAGCATAGGCACATGTCTTTTCTCCATGGACAACCATGTTACGAGCCCACTCAAAATTTTCAAATGTCCACCTTCAGCAGCACCAGAACATGTAACTTCATTCCATGGACAACCATGTTCACGAGCCCACTTCAAAATTTTCAAATGTCCACCTTCAGCAGCAGAGGAACATGTTGATTCATTCCATGGACAACCATTTTCACGAGCCCACATTAGAATGTCCAAACGTCCTCGTCTAGCAGCAGAGGAACATGCAAGTGCATCCCATGGACAACCATGTTCACGAGCCCACTTCAAAATCTCCAAATGTCCATTTTCAGCGGCACGAAAGCATGTCCATTTATCCATGGACAACCATTTGCACGAGCCCACTTCAAAACTTCCAAACGTCCATTTCCAGCAGCAGATTGACATGCAAGTGCATCCCATGGACAACCATTTGCAGCGAACCCACTTCAAAATTTCCAAATGTCCACCTGCAGCAGCAGATTGACATGTCCGTTTATCCCATGGACAACCATTTGCACGAGCCCACTTCAAAACTTCCAAATGTCCATTTCCAGCAGCATGGGCACATGTCTGTGCATTCCATGGACAACCATTTGCACGAGCCCACTTTAGAATTTCCAAATGTCCATTTTCAGCGGCATGAAAGCATGTCTGTGCATTCCATGGACAACCGTTCTCTCTTAACCATTGGAGCATTTCCAAATGCCCATTCCTAGCGGCCCAAGCACATGTCTGCTCATCCCATGGGAATCCTTTTTGTCGTGCCCACAGCATTACAGTCAGATTGCCACTTTTGGCAATTGTAGTGCACACTTTGTGACGACTTGGTGTCTTATTTCTGGATTTGTGTTTGAGCCAGTATTCTGCCCGTGGCTGGTTACAGAATGTTTCGCTGTAAAGAGTGTCAGTGATTTCTGCAGGGCGACGCTGAAAATGATATCGATGGTTCTCTTTCACCATTCTTGGAGTATTGTTGAGTTCAGTTTCACAGTACTGTTTGTACAGTTGATTCATCTTCTTGTTGACAGCACCTACAAAAGCGTACTGTCCAATACCAATAAGAGGAAGAATTCCTTGGATCCAAATATCATTCTTGCCCAACAGAAGAGATTCGATGGGAGGAGACCTCTTCTGATTCTTATTGGCAGCACCGCCAGTACTACCAGTAGCGCCAGTACCACCAATGCTATCAGCAGAAGACATGATCAACAACAAGGCTATCAATCAATCAATCAGCAATAAAGCTCAGCAATCAGATAGATATCAAGGAAAATAAATACTAAATAGATATCTGAGGATCGAGGTTTTAGTACTCGTACATATAATACTGCTGTACCGGTATGGCTGCACTACACTGACAGCAAACTCTCTGCCGTGGAAGAGGTGAGATGATCGGATCGGTGAGAGCCGGCCGGTGATTTGAAGTTCGGTGTCATGATTGCAGGGCTGCGATGACATTGATACGTGCTACATTAAGGTTAAAAACAGATGGATGTGACGTTTGTTCTGCCACCATCATCATTATCCCACGGACAACACAACAACACAGCAGCTGTGTCATTCGATTGTTCTGAGAATGGGTTGCTAGCTAGCTAGTATCATCAACCCATCTGCCTGCCTTCGGTACTTCTAAACTACAGTATCCAGCTAGCTGGTCTTGGTGCATTGTCAGGCTGAGTAAGCGTCCTGGCTGGTCTTTTTCTCTCCTCTTTTCTACCTCAGTGACCTTTCCCATTCTTTCGAAAGAAGCTACCGTGAAGATACATTCCTTCATTCATTCATCATGTCATCTCCAACCAGCAAAACGTTCTGTGGGGCTTTCATACTGTCTGTGGCGATATTAAGCTCGGTTCATTCCTTTTTTACCACTAATGGTCGCCATGTGGTGAGGGATACAAGAATACAGCAGCCATCGTCACAACAGTGGCACAATAAGAAGATTGGCAATAGTCGAATATTCAACAATGCCGACGGAACATCCAGCGAGTCGGAAGAACCATTGTCTCTGTTCGAGGAATCAGTGGATAATAATGCCAACATAACGACAACCATGTCTCCTCAATGTGGAGAATCGGTGCCGCTCCGGAGAAATGCCGCAGCGTCCTTTGGGGAATCGGTACCTCTCCGAACGAGCAATACCACGACGACAACGACACCACAAGATTTGTTTGCCACAACAACAACTGAAGAATCATCATCATCATCTGTAGTCGTACAAGATATGAAACGACGCAATCTGGGAGTGGCCGTGGCATCCGTTCTGTTGGCCGTCACCAGTTATGTCTGGCAATTCACGCATCCCATTACCCCGGTCCAATTATTGGCTACCATGCAGGCGTCATCGGCACCCCTCACGGCCATTGGGACCAATGGACGTCCTACCGTGGTCGATTTTTGGGCGCCCTGGTGTGAAAACTGCAAACAGGCGGCACCCACACTCGCCGTGTTGGAAGAAGAATACAAGGATCGGGTCAATTTTGTCATGATCAATGGCGATCGACCAGAAGCGTTTCCGTTGATTGAACGATTCGGTGTCGATGCCATTCCGCACATGGCATTGATCAGTGCGCAAGGAGATGTCGAAACGGCATTGATTGGACCCATTCCCAAACGAGTATTGCAGGCCGATTTGGAAGTTCTTCTGGACAATGCTGCCAAACAACAGCAACAGCAAGATGACAATAATTCGCAAGAACCACCCAAAGAATTGCCGTACAAAATGCTAGATGTATTTGCCAAATTCCCAGAGTACCGACGAGTCAAGTTTGTACTGGATGAGCCTGGGGAGTAGTGAGTGTGTGAGTGAGCTAGCTGTGGTAGATATAAAAGTGCTAGCAAAACAAAACAAGTTTCCGAGCCGTCCTCCCGGGTGGCAGCTTTGAAATAATAACAATGGCGTCCTTGTCTTTCTAAAGGTAGCTCGTTTGGTTCTGTGCCTGCTGTGAGAGACCCAGGATTCCTCTGTGGCCTTGGAAGACTGGGCGCGACGCAGCTCCTTGGCTCGCCACAAACATCTCCAGTATTGGGTGCAAGAAGCAATGAGTTGAACTAACTAACAATAGATCGTCGTGGAGAAGCAAGCAAGGAATCCAAAAGGAAGCAAGGCAACGTATGCCCAGACCTTCGTCTCCAGCCAGGGGGGAAAAAGGGACACAGCCAACTCTTCCACTTTCGTTCGTTTTGCAAAATGGAGTCAGATGTGCTTACTATAGCTATGACATATTGATTCTCCCGTTCATTGTGCCATGCATGTTGGGAGTAATTGATCAACATCATCCTGAACTTGAGGACAATGAAGAGAAGACGTCGCATTGGCATGGCATGCCAATCATTCCTTTGGTGATGGTTGGCAATTTCTTCATCGCTATGTGATGTTTCCTTTTGAAGGAGGAGCATCAATCACAGGGTCCATCTAAGTTCTATACTTACTTGAACGTTCTCGACTTGGATCTTCTTTGGGTGCACGCCCCTGATCCTGCTGATAGAGAACCATGACCTGCCGCGACATGGGAGAGACTGTGCATTGATTGGGCTGTCGTATGAACGCCATGACCATGCATGGCCCTGCGATAAACCTACGGCATGGCACGGTGCTCTCGCCGGGTCAAATAAAGGTTTCCCGTGTCTGTGTTCAAGTAAGTTTTCGTCCTATCCAAGGCAATGTGATACGATATCTGCATGTCCCAATGCCTACATGTACCTTCATGCTCACCAGCATCTACCTAGCTACGGTATGCGTGATGTACCCACTGCATTATATATTATTTTGGTATCTTTTATCAATATCAATAGGCGAAATAGATGGCTTTTCAATCATCACTGTCATCATCGTCAAACACAGCCTGATGAGTGCGCTTCTTGCTGCTCTTGACCGGCGTAATGACTTCATCATCTTCTTCTTGGTCATCGTCCGAATCATCCTTTCCGCCATCCGCAGCTGCATCGTCGTCGTCATCATCGTCATCACTGTCCAGGCTCTTGCGGTTGGATGCCCCCGCGCGTTTCTTGGGTCTCTTTCGATTGAATGTCTCTTCTTCCTCATCATCATCGTCCATCTCATCCGCGTAATCATCAAAGTCTTCCTCATCACTGTTCATGGTCCGCTTCTTCAAGGATCCTAAACCAATGGTATCATAGTCTCCGTCGTCTTCCATATACCGACTCGTCATGCGAGGACGATTACTGCGTGCACGACTAGAGTACCCATCCCCATAGTTCTTCTTTCGCGCCTGTTCCTTTTCGAATTGCATCTTTTGTTGAATTTTCTTTTCCTTTTCCTTTTCGGGATCCAATTGCGTAATGACCTGTGCAATCTTGGCCCGTTTCATGGTCCGCTGTCGAACCGCCACGGTGAGACTCTTGTGGGCTTCACTCGCCAATGACGATGGTCGAGCCGTCATGCGACTACCGACACTCCCCATACATTCCAAGACAGTTCCAGCGGGCGTCTCCTTTTCTGGTTTATTAGTGTCGCCTTCTTTTTCTTCTTCGTCATTGGGTTCTCGATTGGTGGCCATTTGGGACAAGTACAGATATCCATTGAGACCGGCAAATGTGGCAGTACGTCCCGTGAGGACATTCATTTGTCCCATCTTCTTGGACGAATCGACACTATCCACTTGCAATGCTTCTTTTCCCACATGCAGTGTATACGATCCATCTTCCCATTGAATGAGTCTCGCATTGGATTCTCGTATTAATTTGCCGTTTTGTTCATCGCGCATCATTTGACCATCCTTGTCTTTTTTATACCGCCATCGCATCATATCCAACACATGACCGTACTCTTCTTCTTCTGCTCGCGCCGAATACGTGGCGGGATCAAAGGCATCTGGTTGAATGCCGACCAAATTGGGTAATTTGGTCACGTGCAACGTGGTATCTTCGGGAGGTCGTGTGGGTTCGAGTACTACCATGGTCCGGGGATCAATTTTGGGAGCGGTCGGTTGTTTGGGTGAGAGTTCGTCGACTTGCGCATCGTCGGCTCCGATGCGTTCGGCTTCGGCTTCTTCTAGCTCGCGGAGCCGATCCAAAGCGGATTTTTGACTGGTTTTCTTCTTTTGAAAGCCCTTGGCATGGGACGTTCCGGCAATGTCGTCTCCGGCAAACTCATTGTCATCGTCGTCGTCATCCGAATCTTCTAGATCGTCGTCGTCACCCGATTTCTTCTTTTCGGGACTGTCCTTATATGTCTTTGTTTTGGTAGGAGAGCCACCAATATCATCATCGTCATCATCCGACGAGTCGTTCGTTTTGTCTTTTTTTTCGGATTCCTTTTTCTTCTTCTCATTGTCATCATCATTGTCATCACTCTCCCCTTCTTCGGCAAATGGGTCTTTTTCTTCTTTCTTCTTTTCGGGTTCTGCCTGCTTCTTCTTTTCACCGCCGCCATCACTCGAGTCGTCGTCGCTGTCATCTCCAAACGGATTTGCCGGCGGTGGTTTGGCTTCTTCCTTTTTGCTGTCCTCTTTTTTGCTGTCATCCGCTTTTACTTCCTCGTCATCTTCGTCCGACGAGTCCTCATCGCCGATAACCTCTTCTTCTTGTGATGGCATGGTTGTACTAGTACTAGTATAGTTTAGTTTAGCTAACTGAAAGATACAGTCGTACACTTCGAAAGGACTGTAGACAGGGAGATCACTACGAAAGCTGCGGTTGCTGCCCTTGGTGTGGATGCGTTTTGGGTGCTGTTTGGATACGAAGCCATAAGCCAGCAAGCAGCTGAAGACATCTGGGTGTGGGATCATTGCGCTTGATTGTCGGGTTTTCGCTTGATAGAGGTACCACCTTGCTTGGTTGCGATGGCCTGGACTTTCCGTAGCTAGCTAGCTAGCTAGCTAGCAAGTAGAGAGCAAGGAAGTTTCCCTCGATTGGACAGTACAGGGCATTACAGTACCAATGTTTCCAAATAGGTTATATTTGCAACAATGCCCAATTTGTGAAATGGCGTTAGGTGTTTCAGGCAGGGAGATTGAATTCTGGCTGGCTACGGTACGGTATGCATCACGATCATGCATCCTACACATTTATTTTTTTGGCAGCCATGCATGTATGTTTCATTCAGTTTGTTTCCTTGGCTGACACTTGGCTGACACGCGTGGTTATGTACTCACTCCATGGCTTGTTGAGGTTACATACGGATCCGCCAACTTGCCTTTTTTAGTTTTCAGCCATCGTGTATCATGCATACTTTGCACGTTGCCATTGCTTGCTTGCCATGGGACTGTGTTGTGGCTGAGAGCTACCAGTAGGTACTAGCTAGACTGTACTACCGGTACGCACAGTACGGAACGCAAACAGTGCTTTTTCTCTTCCTACAATACCCTGCCTGGACTACGGTACGATACGGTATCCCTGCCTCGTTCGTTCGTTAAAAAAACAAAAGACAAATGGAAAGAAAGCAGATAGTAAACAGCCTATTGGTTTCTGTCCAAATGGAATGAAGGAGGACAACTGGTGCCGTTCCTGCTGTCAGTGGGGTCACAAGCGCAGCAACAGTTCTCTCTGCAGCAACAACAAGAGGGGAAAACCGGTTTTCGGTCTTCCTTCGGCAGTCGAATTTGCCTCAATGAACGACTCGCAGCGTCATAGTGCACAAGTGGATGCACTTGACAGTTTGGATTTTGTAGAAGACAAGAGTGATGCAACTCAGAACAATGAACTCAGCCAGCTGCTAGACGATCTGATGGACATTGAAGACGAAACGTAAAGCAAAGGACATAGATGGAAGTAACACGTAAAACGTTTCACTAAGTATTATTCTTCTTATTTTGCAATAGTCTCCTACTGTTCCGACCTGTTGCTGTACTGATTAGATAGTGTACACATCACCGTCCTCAATGCGTTTAGTTCGATTCTTCCACTCCAAAGCAATGCGAATGGCATGGTCCCAATAGTCTCCATCGCTCTTGGATGCACTCTTTACCTCCTCAGTGAAAGCCTTAAAGGCAACAAGCTTTCCTTCTTTCTCGAAAGCTTCCTTGACGGCACGCTGTTCTTTCTCAAAATCGACAACCAAGGGTAGCTCGTCTCGTTCCTTCTTTTCCTCTAATTCCATGTTGACCTTCCTTGCCGCAACCTTCTCCGATGTGTAATCTTTGGGTGGTGTCTTCCTCTTGGTGCCAATCGACTCGGTGTCCTTCTCATCTCTGAATTTCAACCTGATTGCATAGACCACACAATCAGGGAGACGGGTACGGTTTCGAAGATGAAAGACGTTCAGAGAAAAATAAGTGTAGGCACACCAACGTTTCTTTGGAGGAGACAGGTCAAAGAAGTCTTCGGCCTCAAGTGCATCTTCCGAAACCTTTCCCTTCAATGAGTTAAACACCTGATCAAAATCCATGAAGCACAATGGAAAGGAAGAGATGGCACAAGTGGATAGGCCAAAGCGAGTCTCGCATTCACAAGGCATTGGAACGGTAGCATCCTCGTCAAAGTCTTCTGGAATCTCTGCAAAAACTTTCTTGAAGTCCGCTTTGTTCCAGGTTACGTGACATGGATGAGCTTGCTTTAGCTGAGCGACAGTGGCCCTTTCGTTGAACACCATTCCCTTGTTAGTCTTTGGATCATAGAGACAGCAAGGAACCGTAAACACCAAGTCCCCTTTGGTCTTTGCGTCTTCGATGACATCGGGCACAGATTCTTTGGCTTCCTTGGACATCTCATATTCCACCAATTCAGACAGATTACTGCTTGTCACGCCTTTCCACACAGCCGAACTACCATCAGCGAGCACAAATTTGGCGACAGCAACGGGACCGGTGGCTTTGTTGAAAGTGCGTTTCTCAAATACACAGTCTAGAACAGTTACCTGCAACACCGCATCTGCATCCACAACAAAATTCTTCCCCACCACACTGCGGAGCATGGGATGATCTGTTACTCCTGTGAGGCAATCAGCCATGAAGTCCACCGAGGCTCCACCACGATGCTTGATGGTGATGACATCTTCTTTGCTATTGACCAAAGGCATGGTTCCAGAATTCCTATTCTCAACAGGAAAATGATTTGTGGATTGTCGTTTGAGTGTACACCGACCCAGCCAGGTTCCCGCCAGAATAAATTCATTGGCGGAAAAACCAAGGATTCCGTTTGGAGGGGTCTTGAACAGCAATTTGGAGATCGATCGATCAGCGGAAAACTTGATTCATGCACCAAAATCGGAGGATAATCGATACACCGACACCTGCCAACTTGGGACCCTAAGAAGATACCCTGTTCATGCCCAATGGCCAGGCTGGTATGTGCTAATAGACAATCGTGTACGCTCTACACGATGGTGTGCAGGATAACAGGCGGATGGGCTTGGGTGCAAAGCAATGCCGGGCTTGGTCGGTGGATGAAGAAACACGATGGTGGGCCAATGCAACAAGCCGATATCAACACACAAGCCAATCCGGTTGTTGCGGCCAGCGGCGATCCCTAGCTATGTATCAACAGATGGATGGGAGCCAATAATATGGGCCGTAGGTAAGCCAATAGCATTACTCTATCCAGTCCAAGTACGGCTACAACATCATTGTGCGTTTGTCAGGTTTGCCTCGATAGCTACACGGAGAATTGGGTAATGAGGGCAAAGTAATCCCATTCGTGACTTAGTTGTCATTAAACGTCCTTAAAAAACCTATGCATACCATACTTGCCAGCAAAGGTCTTTCTGTTTTACCGGGACGGTACCGGTACAAACCGGGTTGAGGACGAGAGGATGCAATTGCAAGAGTTGCCACAAACCTAGACGAACGACCGACCGAACGAACATTGAAGAGTATATGGTATAGTAACACATACCGTTACTACATGTAGTGCTAGTCTACAGAAAAGCTATCTCAGAAGGCAAGTTATTATTAGGAGCTTATTATTATTGCGAGCATCGTAGTCCGAGGATGCTATTAGTCTAGAAGAGAGCCATGGCGGTCACCGAACAGCAGGAAGTCCTTATCATAATGATGCTCTCCTTGCTCCATGCAAAGAAGGAAATGCATCAAAAAGGACACCATTGCTCTCCGTTACGTCCGCAAACGTAATGGTCAGGCCGTGCGAATTGCGGGCATCCTGTCCCAAATACAATCCGAATCTCAGGCTGATCGATCAATCAATGTTGATTCGATTTGATCATTCTATTGATTGTTGAATAATTCGGTGGAACCGGAGCAGATTGTGGACGATGCATTCATTTTCTCACACATCCTCCGATTGGAACCAGACCAGCTGTTCCCAATGGTTTTGGCCATGTGCAAAGAGTAAATCAGACTACATCCACGGCATCCATGGTAAGTGGCATGGTTTCTTGCTGTTCGATTTTGGTCATTTCAATATTATTTTCGTGTGTCAATGCGGATGATGATGTATTGTAGGCACTGGTTCTTCGTTTCTTCTGTCCAGGCGTGCTAGTAGTAGATTGTTGTTGCTGTTGTGCTTGTGCTTGTTGACTCGCCAATTTGCGTTGATCAAAGAGACTGGCCGAGAGTGATTTTTGTTTTCTACTCAGAACAAAGGCGGCCGTGCCCAACACCACCCAAATCACTTGGAGGCGCACCATGAGGAATTCTTCATCCGACTTGGTTCTCAAGCACGAACGATAGAGAGGACCTACTCCCACACTGGCAGACACACTAGTAGTAGTTGTACTAGTAGTTGCTATCGTTGTTGTTGTTGGGAGTCCGGCTGAAGAAGAAAAAAGAAAAAAGTCAGAACACACACACACAAGACAACACCACCAACAAAGCTATCTTATTAAAAATACGCACCATCGTTGGAGCATTTCCAAATTTCGACGCGACCCGTTTCCCGACACTCGGTAATCTCGGATCGTAACGCGGCATCGCACAGTTTGCACTCTTCTGCCAAGACGCAGCCGTCTTCGGTTGACGACGACGACGCTGCCAACCATCGCTGGTGCAATTTCTTCAAGTTTTGTTGATCGTTCGACATGTGATGCGCCACCACGGCAAACAACATCCAGCCCAATAATAGAGATCGTGCCATTATTATTGTTGTACTAGTACTAGTACAGTATTTAACTGTTCTGTGCTCTCTCTTGCTAATACTTATACTAGTTGGAGCCGTCTCTCGTCGACGTGTTGCTTTGGCTTTCCTCCTTCTCCGCCGGAGATTAGTTAGCAATCGGACCATCGCCGTTTACAAATGTGTCGATTTGACGTGTTCGAATTCTACAAAAGCCAGTGAAGCTATTAATACATGACCACGGAAATCGAAACCTTGGTTTTACGGTACCGTCCCCAGACCGCGAGTACGGTAATGGTGGCGTCCCCACCTTTAGAAATACGATATGGTGCAAGCTACTTGGCAGTACTGTACAGGACCGTAGGTATTCAGTTAGCTGGCCACATTAATTTTAGACTATTTGTCGGAAAATTGGCTCTTCCGCTGGTAGGTGGCAGAGCTAGCTAGCTACCGGTAGCTAGATAGCGCTCGCTAGCTAGCGCTATCTAGCTAGGCTGCAGCCACCATTTTGATTCTATCAGGTAAAGTACTGGCTAGCTGGGTGTCAATTTGACGTGTTCGAATACTATAAAAAGCCAGTGAAGCTATTTTAAAATACATGACGACAACCTTGGTTTGCCGTCCCCAGAGCAGGAGTACGGTAATGGTGCATACCCACCTAAATGCGATATGGTTAGCTGTGTCAAGCACAATGTTTGCAAGCTACATGGCAGTACAGTACCGTAGGTATAATAGCAAAGTTCCTCAGTTAGCTGGCCACATTTAGACTATTTGTCGGAAAATTGGCTCCTCTGCTGGTAGGTGGCAGAGCTAGCTAGCTAGCCAGATAGCGCTAGCTAGCCAGGCTGCAGCCACCATTTTGATTCTATCAGGTAAAGCACTGGGGGGATGAGCAAACTTGCCCATTGCCCTGCATTGTATTTGATAGCGTTTTTTGTAAAAGTGTCTGTGAAAGAGCGAATATTTGTTTTGGGATGCAATTTTTCTATTGGATTAGATCGGATTGGATTGAATTGAATTGGATTGAATTGAATTCCAGTTTACTATACAAATAACAGTACTATTTGGAATCCAATTCAATCCAATTCAATCTAATCCAATGCAATCTAATCCAATTGAATCTTGCTTCCCCCTAAAAGCTTCATTTATCCTTTTTCTGACATTCTGAGTCACTCCTGTTGAGTACACTACAGGGCTATAGTGAGATTTGCCCATCCCCTGGTGCGAAACTGGGGCGCCGCTCTAGCTAGCTGAAGATCTGCCAGGGGATCCTTCCTCGATTCTGGGTTAACGTAGTACGTACTTTACACTACGGAACGGAATACGGAACGAGGCACTGCATGTTCCCTTTTGCAACCAACGATTTCTCGGAAGAGTCGAGTCGAGTCGAGTCGAGTCGAAGGTGTCATCTAGATCTACATGTAGCAGACTACAGCAGCTCCACAGGAAAAGATTCATTGGAAAGAAACCAGCAAGATTCGCCCCTCTGAAAAGCCGTTCTTTCTGAGTTCTGCAACCAAGTATCGTACTTGAAGTTCGTAGGACATGAACGGCCGTTGCGGCAAACACGTGATTTCTCCGGTTCGATACCGTACAACTACATGTACCGTAAGGGTTCTTCCGTGCTCCTTGGATCAACATGTACATGTAGAATGGTCTGTCATCGTTCTTGGCTGGTTGCATGCTGATTATATGCATATGATGAATGCTACTCTGGCGAAAAAGTTGAGAATTCTCAAACCTACTGGCACCAACACAAATCTGAAGATCAAGTTGAGAATTCTACAATCACCCTAACCCAAACCATCATAAATCCTGCTGCTGATTCTGAGGAGTTATCACCTTTTTCAAAATTCTCATTTTTTTCGTCACAGTAGAATGGTATAAATAAGTAGTGGTTTCGCTACTGTAGTTGTGCTTGGCACAGAAGTTTCGCCGATTGACATTACCCTTGGTTTATGTTCTGCGGTGTGAAGGCTTGCTGGTTTGAACGCTGGCTGTGATGCGGGGGATCTGCACTTGACGAGTTTGCAGAGGTGCGGCTTGTGGTGGTACCGTGCCATGTGCTCCAGGATACCGTTCCGTATTGTTTCTACTACCAGTAGCTATGATAGGGATATCTACCGGTATGTGGCCGCGGTTGCCATCATCCCAGAAGAGGACTGAAGCTTGGATGAAAGAAACGTCAGGTTTTACAGCAAACTTCCTCGCAACCGGTACAGGTACTAGCTAATACCTGGTAACACTCTGAAGCTTTCGTGATTTATTTCTCACCGTACCAGTACCCATCCTGACGACACGTTACCGCTATGCCCTTCCCCAAACAGCGGGTCGCATAACATCAGAAGCCTGTCGATTCGATTCTGGTTCGTCCATTCCCTTTTGCTTTTGAGAAACTAGAAATGAGAAAATGAAACTAAAAATGAGAAACTAAAACTGTTTGAAAAAGTTCAAAACTTCATAATGGTTTCCGGACCTTGCTGTTATGTGGGCTGGATACGTACACTTACTTACTTTGTGCTCCCCGGAACACACTGGGTTTGTTTACTTCGCCTTACAATACCGGTGCCGGTACGGAGTACCATACGGGGTGATTTATCCAGTCGCCCCGAAGCAAGTTGGCTGGCTGCCGCAAAACCACTGGAGTCTCTGACAGGATAATTTCATTTTCTTGCCTTCATCTATCACAAAAACATATTCCAAACGTTCGAACCCATCAGGAGAAACGATGGCGAACGAATCTGATATCCCCACTATTGTGTATGTTTTCCACCTGGAGGATGATGCCACCCAGGTTTCGAACGGTTATTTTGGCCGTCGAAATGAGCAAGGCAATGTGTTGGATGCTAGCCTGGTCTCTCGGTGGGATTCTGAGAAAGGTCGCTCTGACAACAGCCATGCTCGCATGATGCCCAAACACAAGAGCGTGTGCATTGAAACCGAGGAGGACAAGCCAACAAGCCGCAGGCTCACACACGTCTCTGTGGTCAGCTATCCCCGCCCCTCATCTTGCCAACAGTGGGCATGCGAGGAGGACAGCCAGACAACCTCGCGAAGAAAGAACAACACGAGTAAGTGAACGAAGCAGTACCGGAGATGTAGTCGCAGATCGGTGGGCCACATCGATCCCTGTGAGCCATAGGATACAACTTCGTGGCGATCGTGGCAATCAGCAGCTTGGACACGAGACCACGAGGGACCGACCAGCGCGGCTCCCAAAGCGAGGTGCTGGCTACTCTCAACCCGTCCGCAACTCAACCGACCCTCTCATCGAGCTACGGTACAAGGCCAAGAAAAGCTACTGCTCCAAAGCGGCATAGACAGCCTGTCGACTAATTACTCATAGTCTAGTAATCATCACTACTAGCATTGCTTTCGTAAAACACGAAGCAAAGCAAGTCATCAAAAATTGAAGTCTTGGAATTGCACGCGCAAACATGCCCACACATCCTGCTCGATACTAGCCACGAAGAATAGAAAGTTTGGGACAATGGCTTTCTCACCAGGTACTTCATGCGGTACCAGCTTTGGATGATCAGCTAGGAATGTCATAGCAGCACCGACATTGCTGGATCGGCCACCAGTCGCGGCAATGCCAGCCCTGTTCCACTCTTTCGACATGCTTGCAGCAGCTAAAGAAGCAATAGAACGTACTGTATCCATGGCATTGGAGCAGCAAGCGGCTATTGCGTTCGCGGGTTGGTTCACGGGCAAATAGCGATGGATAGGGCGTAAGCCCGAGGCAAACTCCGGTGAGTGGCTGATCTCTCTCAAATCTCCGAGAGCAGTGC